ACAGGGGGGGCCCGCATCTCTAAGCTCAAACTATTACAGCAGCAATTAAATGAATAATTTATACTTATAAAAAAAAATAAAACCCCTGTTTTAAATGAAATATAACTTTTTTTATTTATTTCACGTCCTAACTATCCACCCACCTATGTAAATAAAACAGCCTTAAAAATATGTTTCAAAAAAGCAGCTCTAGCAGCTTGTCCAGCCTGATTGCTTGGGGGCGTCTAGGTTGGCCTTGGTTCTTCAGCTGTTCTTGGGTTTGCGGAGCATTCTCACGTGTCATCATACGTAACATCCAGGTCTTCTTTCATATCAATAGCAATATTGTGGAGGATTGCCAGTGCTACTATATATAATTTGGCATTTTCTAAAGACACCGAGAAGCCATGAAGAAGACACCCCTAAATCGAAAACCATCCACCTCTATTACTCTTTTTCGACATCAGCTCGCACTGTCACAGATCTTCATAACATACTTCTTTGAAAAGCGGTATTTTGTTTTGAAATCGCCATCCGAAAGTAATAACGGATTGCACGAGTTTGGTATGTTTTGACTTTCCTTGGGGGAGGCGGCAAATCTTCAATCGTATGTATTAGCTGCATATCAATATTATCTAAATCTTCCATTTGATCTATATAAATCTATTTTCAACAAACACAAATACCTCCCTAACTTAAATCTTTCCCTTGAACTAAACAGTCAAAAAATGCTGTCAAACGCGCAAATCAGATCAAATAACGCAATTTATGTCCTATACACCCGTTAAACTAGGCCTCGGCGTTGTATAAGCATTGTACAAGTCTTCATACAAACCAGACACTTGTTATAACAGCCGTATACATCAAACGTGTCAATTCAGGAATTATTAGTAACATTTTTCTTATAACAGGCTTATACGATGTGCATAATTCTTTATTAGTAAGACCGAAAAAGTATAATATATGTTTTAAGCACTTACGGTGAACTGCAAAACAAAATACTTATATTAGGTATAGTAGAAATGGAATAAGAAATTACGAATTTTTACTTGAAGGAATCACTTACGACATTCTGTAAAGTAAAAAAGTATATTAAAATTACTTTATATTTTGTTACTTACTATATTTTAATTACGTTAAATAAAAACATACCGCAGGCTTTAAAAAACAGATATTGTTATATAGTCAAGTTTACTTAAAATAATTGATTATATGTGATTTAGAAAATTGTAACATAGGTAATTACCGTAGTCTAAAAATTAAAACAAAATTAACGTGAATTAATTATTAATGAAAATATTTATGTATAAATGACAAATGTTATTTCTAACTTACTGCGTCAGGCTATAACCAATATATTATTATTAGTGAAATATGTTTGCCACCAATCCGAACGAAAGACTAACTGATAAACTAATTTACGTGTTTAATTTGAATTACCTCAAGCTGGAAAGACAAACAAACAGTATATTAATAATATTAACAGCAGCTTTTTATACTGGAATATAATGTATATGTAAACTTATTTCCAATCCAGATTTTCGCAAATTTAGATTGATAAATGTCAAAATAAAACCAAAATTCGTTTCGAAAAATAAAAGGTAATTTTAAAAAAAATTTTTTTCCGGGGTTATTGAAAAGATTGAGTGAAAAGTGAATTTTTCTCCATTAAGCATGACTTTTACGAATAGCTAGAGTAATTAATTGAGATTTAGGCGTATAATTTGTTGCATTTTGTGTTAATAACTAAAATAACGATGATTCTCGAAGAGGTCGCAACAATCTTGCTAACATATACGATATCCATGCGGGCGAAGCTGTGTAGTAGGAAGTATAGATAGAAACAGAATAAATTTACATTTCTAACTTATAAATTATAAACTTACTGTTAGCTAAAATTTATAAACAAATCATGATTATTCAATTAATTAAATAATTAAGTTTTGATAGTCTATAAAAGTAATGTCACTATACTTACTACAGCAGTTTGTGTAGCCTATAAAAAATGGTCTCAGTAAAAATTTTATTCAAAAATTCATCGGAATTATATAAAAAAAGTCTTACATTATTGGAACTTGATGTTTCTGTGACCTGAAAACGAGTCATTCATTCGCAGTCTAAATTAGTGTTACTATAACAATTAATTTATTACACCTTTAGGTAAAAATTATTCGACTCGAATACTAATATTTTAATTCGAATAAGAGTGTCGTGTAAGTTTTTATCAGCTACCAGTTTGGTAACTGACCAATTTTCAACATAGCATATCTACTGGCAAAGGCAATTGATATTATGGACTGCTTATCTGTGTTGCCATCCATGATCCAACTATAACCAGAAACTTCGGTATGTTTAATCTTATTACTTTAATTGTCTTTGCTACTGGTTAAGCGATTCGTTACCCTGAGAAAATGCTTACAACCTAGAAACATAGTTACTGACACCATATAATGGTGCATATGAATAAATACATTTTATCAATTAAATGGATCGATTTTGAGGTCATCATAAATTATAATATCGCCATTGCATGTCGATTTCCAATATAAATGTATATTCAATATATTAGAGCTATATTTTTTCTTACATTTTCGTCACCTGCGTCTTCTTTCTCTGGCTGTAATGAAGTAGTGCGTTAAAACTATTTCAAATATTTTTATATTTTATATTTATAAATAAATACATATAAAAAAAATTGTGAGACATTTAAATAAACTTACTTTTTCAGCAGATGGAGTTGTGTTCTAAAATCACATGTTACGTTTATTCAAATATTTTAATACTTTTCGTTTATTAACCCTAGCTAAGCTGGGATATTTAATAGTATAATTGGGCACTATTAAACATGTATTTGAACACATGCTTCAGGTCTTATTTTTATTTTCCAGATTAAATGAAAAGTCTAATACATTTCGAGATAATTTTGACTCGTACTCCCTTACCCTGTAAGATAACTAAAGAAGGTAACTTCGGGCACACATATTACACAATATGGGTTAGTATGATATATAAAACTAAAATCAATTGTATGAACCTTACATTATCATCTACTTTATCAGCAGGAGGCTAGAAAAAAAAATGTTTTATTTATATTAAAAGACAGTGAACAATCGTATGTAAACACGTAACGAAGTATTCGTGCTATAAAACAAAATATTTTTTTAAATTAATTAATTGATATGAATATGGACAATTAGTATGATATTTTTATAAAACTAAAAGCAATTGTATGAACCTTACATTGTCATCTACTTTATCAGCAGGAGGCTAGGAAAAAAATTGTTTTATTTATATTAAAAGACAGTTAACAATCGTATGTAAACACGTAACGAAGTAATCGTGCTATAAAACAGAATATTTTTTTAATTAATTAATTGATATGAATATGGACAATTAGTATGATATTTTTATAAAACTAAAAGCAATTGTATGAACCTTACATTGTCATCCGCTTTATCAGCAGGCTAGAAAAAGTATATTATTTATATAAAAAGAACGGTAGAAAATGTATACGTCATAATAAAGTAATCCTGCTATGAAACAGAAATATTTAATTCAAGGGCGGAACCAGAATTCAAGCCTCAGAAAGTTAACATTTTTATAAAGACCGAACCGTATACAAAATTTGTTTTTATATTAATATAAATGACCGTTTTTATGTAGAATCTGTAAATATCCGCTAACAAAAGCAATTTCATTACAATATCGATAAAGGAATTGTGATACAGCCTTCGTACATCTCCTGACGCGGAGAAGGAGTAAGGACATGACAGGGTAATGACGACCATAATTATTTAATTATGGCAACTTTTGTGGTACCTAATAACTATTTAAAATATTTACATTTTATAATCTACATATTTTATTTTGTAATGCAATTTCCATTATGTTCGCTAGCTGTTTTGTTGATATAATATTGTTTAATAATGTGTAGGTATATCAGTGCAATAATATTCTTTTAAAAATAATAATTACTTTTTCTTTGTTGTCGGTTTCCACCTGTAAATTTTGTTGTTCATTAAATAAAGATTGAACATAGATTTATAATGACAAGTGAATTATCTTATTGATTATTTAATGTACTTGATTAAGTATACGCATTCAATCAATCAATTTAAGGAAAAACATACAATCGACACCAATTATAATTGTTTTGTCTTCAAATGTTATAATTTATATGGTAATTGACTTGATCTTAATAATCAATTAAAAACTAACGCGATTCATAGATCAGAATCATTGACAAAATTGTCTATTGAATCTGACTTATTTAGTTTCACTGATATATATTTTAGGAGCTACAAGTCTTATACATATTATAGTAAAATAGTAATTTTTAGTTTATGTACCAGTCAAATAAAACATAATTATAACATCTTAGAATGAACTGAAGTTCACTCTACTTACCGGCTGGAAAAGAAATAATAATTTATTTTGGTATGTTATTTCTTTATACTAGTTTAAAGTAGTACATTACAAATAAGCTCTTTACTGGAATAGGACTATTAAATACCCTTTTAAACCTTTTTTTTTGTTTGGCTAGGGGCAAAGTTATGTGTTTATTTACTTAGATTTATATTTTTCATAAAAACATTGTGATTAGCAATTTATAGAAATTATTTCTAAAGATATTTAATAAATATAATAATAGATATACCAACCACCAGGATTCCATATTTCCAACATAGAGAAAATAAAATCAAACATTTCCAATATGAAATAAACATTTTTATTAAAAGTTAAATAAATTTCTACACTCGCCAAATCTTATATATTATGGAATTGCATCAACAATATTTTGTTTTGAATGGCAGCAATAAAGTTTTATTGATACTTTTAATTCATTTTTTATGTATGTGTACACATATGTTACTCATAAGATATCGTAAAATGCAGAACCTAATAAAATGTTTAGATTATTGAATCCTTGAAAAAGAGAAGATTAAAATTTTAATAAATAACAAAACATGTATAAAATATTTAATAATAATATACACAATATATACAGAATGCAATATTATTTACTTGGAATCTTCAGACTTCTCTTGATATTTTATGATTCCTTTTTCAATTAAATCTGGTATCTCCACAGCTAGCCATGGTCCTAACTGTAAAAAGAGGTAAAATTGCATAATCCAATCACTCCACTAATTCAAGTAGTAGATATAATTGCTGGAAATTAATTTGTGTTACATTTATTTCTCTTTTCCCTGTCACTCAATATTGCCATTAATGACACAAAGCCTAACTTCAAGAGGGTTATGAGAGATCTAGACATAGGATCTGATAACATTTAATTATTTAAATATATGTATAAAAAGTCATACCCCAAGTGCCATTGCATGTGCAATTCCAAAGCGTGGTACATTTCTTGCCCATAATGGTTTGAAGTGGTCTGTCAGACAGATTTTACCACCTCTGTACATCTTAGCTGTTTTACCATCTAAACCTGGTAGTGCTAACTCTGGTGCTGTTGTAGGGTATGTAATTGGAATCTGTAAAATAGTGTTATAATTAAATAAGAAAAAAAATCAACAGTCAAGTTTAGGACAATAAAGCAACAAAAAAACATACACAGCTCCGCAGTTTTAACTGATTTTGGCAACTTAAAAAGTACTTTTTAGTATTTAAGTGCTGTCGTTATTGAGAGTGGGTGTAATGCTATGTAGAGTGCATCATTGTATAGAAGACAAGCTAAACCAACCAAAGCCAAGTGATTTCAACACTTTAGGGGCTTGTTGTTAAATCGAGCGATGTTACATGGAGTTTACACTGTATATAAAAAGTGAAACAAGTGTTTACAAACATATTATAAAATCAAACTATTTTGTCACTCTATGTATAAATTCCAGTGTAATAATTCTCTTTTTATTTTTGTACTTACATCAAATTCAAGATCAAACTCATATTTCAACAGATTATGGATGTACCAACATTTGCCAAACCACTTTGTACCTGTTTTATCAGATTCTAGTCTAAACCAGTCATTATCTGCTTCTTTGTTGTTCTGGACATACTGGAAAATTTAAAAATGCCTTTGATTTCTTAAAAAAATATTATAACTAAATTTCAAATAGTTATAAGTAGTGATACATTATGTACAACCCGTACCCCAACTAGAGCAGTCAGTGAAAGTGTATGAATAAATTGTGATGAAAACTGTAAGTTTGCTTAAGTCGACAGTGGACTTTCTAATTGGGATTTACCCCATACAAACAAAAATAATTAACTTTAAATGATTTAAAATTGTTACAATATCATATCAGAACAAGGTTGCTCGTAGTGATTTTCAGGAAAATATACCTTAATAAGACCTTGATATTCTTCTTTTAACCTAGTTGTCCATAATTCCTTATCTCTAGGACCTGCTTTGGTTTTCAGTAAAGGGATGCTACTGAGGGTCTTTCTAGTTCCTTCATCAACCATTTTAAAAATGTTCTATTATATTTATCATTAGAGATTTTTGAATAATATCGTATAAGGTTCACGATATAATATAATGACACGACAACAATGTGTGACAACAAATTACGAAATCATAACAACTTTTGAATTTTCATGTCATAATAATTTTGTGACTTAGTGACACGTTGTCCCAGCCATAGACAAAATATCACTAGGGGGCTTAGTCCAGTGCCAATGCGGGCAATGCCTTAACAGTAGTGTATGTAGAAAGTCGAAAACTAAATTTTTATGAAAATTTGTCGACACGAAAACTGTCATTTTCATACAAATTTAATTCATAATATGACAAATTCCATAGGTTTCTGAATTTTACCCAAAATCTTGCTCATAGCTTTTTCGTGATCTACATAATATTACTAAATACTAAATTATTTTAACTTCTATGTACCCTATTTCATTCCTCATTCCTTTAAAGCTGTCCGTCTAGTCAAAATCTTTATGATTAAGTTGTTCTATTTTGTGCTCACTTCACTTCACTTTATTTATAATGCATCTTTAATCCAATTCCCCAATTCACGTTCTAAGTCTTCACACATAGGATAGATTTGATATTTTGATACATTGAATTTTATCTAACAATTACCCAAACAAATCTATACAACACACACAGAAATCTAATAATATATACAAAGGTTAACATTTTACTACAAGGTATGAAGGGGAGAATCTTATTTATAACTTTAATTTATTAACAGAAATAAATTTCCCTAATATTTTGACGATCGAGCTGGATGGGAGGGAAAGTAGGGAGTTAAGGTTACATGGACGAGGGAAATCTGGAGAAAGATGGTCAAATAACAGTCATTATTTAAAGAACAGTTAAAAAAATATGGTCTGTCGAGCCCTCTCATACCACACTCACAAAGAACTGTCTTTTATTTTAATTTTGGCTAGATGAACGGGAGTACAAGCGTGCCCTATACGAAGACGGCAATTATAGACGTGACCTTTTTTGTTTAAAAACTTATATTTAAAAAACCACCGAAAAGGGATTGAATACTGAATATTAGCATAGTGCCTGCCAGTTTTTTCTTTAGAAGATTGCCAATCAATAGTCCAGGATTTTAAAAGGTGGGAGTACCAAAGCTGATAGGTCTGCCAATTTGGATCTGACAGTCCGCAGAAAATACACCTTTTGCACAAGAGTCAGCAGTTTCATTACCCGCTATACCACAATGACTAGGTATCCACAAAAGTACAATATGAATATCTTTTTTACTACACCTAAACAAAGCTTCTCTTATTTTTAGAATCGTATTATGTTTTTTTTAGACCTAATGGATTGGAAAGAATTGCCTGTAAACAGCTGCAAATCGGAAAAAAATGTAACTTTATTTAGGTTGTGGGACTCAGCATACAAAACCGCTTCTAGATTGCAAAAGCTTCACCTGAAAAAACGGAGGTCAATGGAGGAAGTTTAAAGCTAATACTGTTTTGAATGAAGGGACCCATACAGCCGCACCGATGCACTCATTATTGGGAATCTTGGAAGCATCAGTATACATCAATAACCAACCCTGCCAGTCTTTTTGAAATTTTTTCCAGAAAACAAGTGGAAGCTTGGGTAGATTTTTTTTCAATTCCAAAGTTTAAAATTATTTTAGGATCAAAAATAGGGATTCATAACTATTTAAAAACAAGGGATTCCTAGAAACTTTCAACAGGATTAGGAAGACGAGAAAGTTTATTAAAACTTGTAACAGGCATGGAACATTACCTTCTAGTGGCATCGTGAGATTAGATAAGCGACGTAATTTGGACAAAGATGAGAAGAGATTGAAGGACTTTGATGAAGAAGCGGTCACTTAAAAATTGTCTACGTAAATACAGGGGGGCAACACATTCTATTTGGAGAGATTGAGGGAGAGGATTTCATAGCACCAAGGATGATGCGTAAAGATTCGATTGAATTTTGGAAATTTTATCAAGGGCTTGCTTGTTGCCAGGATCTAAAAGGAAGGTGCCATATCAAAATGACTTCGTACCACAGCTTGTATAAAAGCTTTTGCGAGTAGGGGTGTGCTCCCCACCTCATTTTGTGCTCAAATGTTTTTCTTATGCTGGGCTGTCAACTGTCATTAAATAAAATATCGAGAGTAAATCGTCTAAAATTATTCTATTTTTTATTCAAATAAGATATTGTTTTTAATATTTTGGAATGGAGTTAAGTTAACAAAGTAAATTAAATGCCCTCTAGAAATATTTTATAACTATTACTTACAGCTATATATTATAAGGTGGCTAAAAACACAAAATAAGTGAGTACATTTTATGAGTTTATTTTCAGGTAATCGGTCCAAAAATGGGTTTTTAAGTTGTATCGACATTGATAATCATCAACGGATTTCCTATTGAATATAAAAAAAGTTTAGGTCTGACAAGCTTGTTAAGTGATGTTGTTTTATTCATTTACTGTCGTAATCTAGTACTAAAATTTTCGACACTTATATTTGGTTTTCATTATATTTTACATAGGATTAAAAAATGGGTTCTGAGCAGTCCATGCCACCGAAAAAGCAACCACAGCGAGCTCCACCCGTGCGAAGAGGATATACTGTAGCTGGAACCAGCTTTGTTGGTAATCTAAAATATATTTTATTAAATCATAAAAGATGATTTATTTGAATGTTTGCCTCTATGTTTTCTTCTTTTTTAGAAGGGAGACGGGATGCATCGGCTAGTGGCAACAATTCTCCTGGAGCTAGCATGTGCTCAGATTCAGAACTTCCATATATATCATATACTGTAGATAGGCCTATTGGTGGTAAGTTTTATTATTGGACTAATAATATCTAAGCACTCAGGTTATTGTGTACTTTTGTACTTTTAAAACCATTTTGAGAAACATAGGATAGTTTTTCAATTACCTATAAAACAAATATAAAAAGACATAATTTTCATTTCCTCAATAAAGAAAGTAATGTTTGTTCAGATTCACCAAAAAACACAGCAAAAAATCGTGATGCAAAAAAATCACTTCAAAGAAGACAAATGGCTCAGGCGCAAGCTAGGAGATCCCAACGGGCAAGAGATATTGTTGTTGTGAAGGCTGCTACAGATACTCAGCTGGATGAGGATATACGCAGGCTGCAGGTGTTCTTTATTACCTCTGTTGCTTAGTGGTTAATACACATAGTGTACAGTTCGAGTTCTCTCGAGAATATAATTGCCTAACCAGAACAGACAGACTGATTGCTCAAAGCCTTGTTTTATTCCATACTAATAGTAATGTATTAATTGTGGTTTTAGGAAATCCCCACATTTCTACCAATTATGAGGGGAACATTGGGACTACCTGGTGCAAGGGATCCAGAAGTCTTGGAAGGTATAATACTTTTCAAATGTAATTCTTTTGAACCTGAACTGAAAGATTTTCATCTCTATTGAGTTATATGGACCAAATTGAATTGATATCTTTATTCTTTAGATAAAATATTTCTATTTAAGGTCTAGACTACCGCCCATGGGCGAGGTTAAGTTCCCGTCTTCAAGCTCATTTAGCAGCATGCGCACATCCCTTAGCACAAACACAAGGATTACTAACGTCACAAATTAAACAAGTAAGATTATTTTGTTTTATATTTTTAACTGACTATAATATATAGTTTGATATAATTTGATGTGTCATTTTTTTCATAACTACTGTCTGTGGACTGTTCTGGATTGAGGTATCATCCCGATTTGTGACAGTGAATAGGTTCCATAGACCAGACTTTGTAATCAGATCTTTACACAATTGTAGTTGATATATTTTAGATTGTATGTTATTTGGGTGAAAGTGGGGTTTAAAATCTTTTAAACCAATTCCAAGAAAATATTATATTACCTATTAATTTGACTTGTATGTATCTGATTTTGTTGGATATTATTTGAGTACAATGACATATTTATATCCTTGGGGATTAAAGCGTTCAAGTATTACGTAAAGCAATTTTTGGAGATTATTGACATCCCCCCATGTAACTCGTTTCGTGACCACCTAGTGACTCCTTATACCTAAAAGTTACCATTATGTGGTGTAAAGTACTGGAAATGCAATTCAATCCCCGCCCCGTATCGTAACGTTTTACAAAGGACAACCCCCCGAAAATGCGTTACGTAATACTTGCTACGTAACGCTCCCTTGTATGTGTGCTAAATTTTATAAGTGTTTGTATGAGCACAAATTTCTTGGAAACTAAAAATCATATTGAGATGATCCTAAGATTTAAATCAGAACACTCTGAGTTTCATTGGTTCATAAAAAAACAAGGAAACCTAGGTAAAATATAATATTGTTGGATATAAAAGAATAATATATTTATTGTAATTGAAATCTTAAAGGCATTTGTAGTCGGGTTTAATTTTTCTATTACTTTTATAGTAGAATCCTTATAATATTTTCTGTTTAGTATACTATGTAACTCAATGTTGATTGTGTGTATATAGAATACTTTTAATTTAGCTTCTATGATTTTTTTTTCTTTTCGCCTATGGCGCAGGCCTTTCCCAGTCTTACGACCATACCGCCTAGTCTTTCGTAGAATTTTTCCTTTAATTATAATTTATATTAAGTTAATTTATGTCTTTCGTAAAATAACCCTCCATATAATTATGTATGCTAAATTCTTTGGATTTTGACATATTATGTCAGTCATACCAAAAATCTAGATGTGACACAGCACAGGAGGTTTATTTGTCTAAAAAAAGAAAATAATCTTGTTAACAAAGACTTGAGACGGGGGCCTCATAGCCTAGCGGTCTTATTAAGTGGCAGCTACGTGAGGGGTACCGGGTTCGATTCCCGGTTCGAGGGCAAGTTTTAATTTAATTTAAATTTGTTCTCGGCCTTTGGGAGGGTTGTGCGGTGCCGGGCGAGTGCCTAAACCGTACATGGAGGACATGGTCGAATTTCTTAGGCAAAAACACGAATTATAAAAATCTTATACTTGACGCTGGCTAATGCACAAACCGTGCCAGAGCCATTAAAAAAAAAAAAAAGACTTGAGACAAAATTACTTTGACAGGACTCACTCTACTGTTGTATGGAAACGGTCACGTGACAAAGCATGAGCTACTGTCGTTCTCATACGAACTCCTTAGGCGGCAGTTGATCACGCCTGTCGAAAAGTTATTTTGTCCCAAGACCCTGATACAGAGATCTAACACAACCATATCCAAAAACTTAGCGTGACTCCTTCAGACTTTAATAAATAAATTTAATTTCGCAATTTAATGAAGGTTAGTAGTATTAGTGCGGTGAAGGGTAATTTATTCACACATTTAAGGTATTGTGTGTTAATTTTATTTGTGTTTGTTTTAGATAGACACAGAAGTGTCCCGCCTTTATAGTCAAGCGGTAGAACGACAAAGAAACAACGCACGACACGCGGAACGACTCGCGAGAGTTCGGGAATTATCACATCAACTTGCAAGATGTAATTCATTGCTAACTCGGGTGAGTATCTAATAAACCCAGCTTTATTGCAAGTCATCGCAAGTATGAAGGATGTAAATCATAATTGATATTGGATACCTACTGGTGATATATTTTTTTAATTGTTTTGCAAATTTGTTGTATAAAGCAAGTGAAAAGTTAATTATAGTCTTGAATGTACAATTAATAAATCATTACATAGTAACTAATAATATATTATATCTATATAGGTACATAAGTAAAAATTAATTGCAAAATATGTCGCTAAGCGCATGATTAGAATACGGCTGGAGCCTGGACTAATAGTATTTCAGTTTATCAATTCTTAAACTATGATGAAGGTTTAAATGGAGAGAGGAATTGGAGATTACATTTTTTATTAAGTACTTTTATTCCAAAAAAACGAACAGTCTACGGCAGTGTTTCCCAACTCTTTTTGTCCCATGCCCCACCTTTGCCTTTTTAAAATTAGTAAAGTAAAATTCCAAGTACATAATTTTATTAAATTTTTGAATAGAAAACAATCAAATTTCCCCCGGTAAAGTGTGGGCCCCCCGTTGGGAAATACTGGTCTATGGGGTAAATGTTCCATATGTTGGTATGTTGCTACTAAAATGGCAGTTCAGGTTCAGTAGATAAAATAATATTAAGGCAAAGAGTTCGCGGGGACTTATATGATAGAAAATGTTTTTTTTTCGATTCTTTAATAGGCTAACCCTGAATTACTTTACGTAGCTTTATAAAGACAAGTTTTTAAAATACCCTTATGGTCAATTTATACTAGCGCAGAGTCGAAGCGCATCGAAGCGTCAAATTCTTCACAACTAAAGGGAAGCCGCACGAATGCGCCCGCAGCAATCAGCGTTGGTCACGCGCAGATGCGCAAATCCGAAGAATCTTTTTGAAATCTCAGAAGTAATGTGTGCGTTACGCTGTGGAGTTAATGTTGAATTTGTTATCTTCAGTTTTGGATAAACGCTTCGATGCGGTAGTATAAATTGACCCTTATAGTTGATTCAAAGAAAGCTTTCCTGTTTATAATTAGAGTAAATATCTCACTGAAAAATTGTTTCAGTCGCTCCAAGACGTTGAAGAGTTAAACCAGATGTTGCCCGAGGACAAACGACTTGCGCCATTCGTATGGAATTCACAGAAGTGTACTTGAATTTCCCGAATAATCTGGAGCTGCTTATAATTCAGAAGCTATTATTGTTTGGGCATGCAGGAATTTTATAGTGGACAAGTGTTGAGATTATTATTATTTTACAAGTCTTTATTATAAATCTTATACACAGACATCAATATCACGAGAGCAGAGGTATCCCTATTTCCTAACTTTTTTTTTAGAAAATCTTAGTGAGATTCGAAACCGATAGATATCGAAGGGATATGTAATCCAATGAGGCAATGAACACTTGTTACCATGGTTACGTTTGTTTAAAGTAAAAAATAGTTTAATAACGAATCATACATCCTTCCTAGTATTAATTTTATTCAGTCTGTAAAATAAAATAATTAAACAATATTTCAGACAAAAATATGTATAGAACTAATTTATGGGAGTAACATATTTAGTTAAGAACTATATTAATATATTTATTACTAAGGCTTATAATACTCGTCAATTTCATTGTAAAGTCTAATACGGTTACTAATACCTCCATTATAACGAGAATTCAAAGTAATATTAAAATTATATTGTGAAGTATCTGTGAATATTTTAAATATTATAAAAGTATTATATAATCAAGCTAAGTCTATGGATCTCTTAAATATATAATAACTATTAGAAATGTGTTTTTTATTCCTTGATAGAAGAGATTGTTAGAAGCTTAAAGTATGTAAGTGAAAAAGTAATTTGAAAAATGTAAGCTGTTAAAATATTATGAAACCTTTTATTCCAAATTTTTCGTCTATAATTGAGTGACAATATAATACAAGCGAGAGTATGAATCTATGGTCTATACACTGACTATAATTGTCACTGCATAAAAGACAGGAATCCTTATTGCAAAAACTGGAGTAATTTACAGCTATACTTACAGTAGGCTTAGCAAGATATGTGAAATCTTATACTATTAAAATGTGATTTATTTATTTATAAAAGCTTGCCAACGCACACAAAAATAATATACAATATTTAATGTGACAAGCAAATTGAGGGCCAGCGGTGAGTCCCAAAAAACTTCCCCCAAAACCCCCCCCCCCCCCAAAAACAAAATGTATTTAAATTACTTTAATTAATTACTAGTACAATAGACTTAATACTTTTTTAAAAAAAAAAAAAAAAAATTTTTAAAAAATTAAAAAAAAAAAAAAAAAAAAAAAAAAAAAAAAAAAAAAAAAAAAAAAAAAAAAAAAATTAAAAAAATATAAAAGAAAAAGAAGAAAAAAAGGGGAAAAAAAGGAAAAAAAACCAAAAAAAATTAAAAAAAAAAAAAAAAAAAAAAAAAAATAAAAAAAAAAAAAAAAAAAAAAAAAAAAAAAAAAAAAAAAAAAAAAAAAAAAAAAAAAAAAGAGGAGGGGTTTTGGGGGGGTTGGGGGGGGAAAGGGTGGTTAAAAAAAAAAAAAAAAAAAAAAAAAAAAAAAAAAAAAAAAAATAAAAAATTTATGGTTAAAATTTTGGCGAAAAATTGATTAATAAGTGTAAAAAAAACACCTTTTAAAAATAAAAAAAAAAAAAAAAAAAAAAAAAAAAAAAAAAAAAAAAAAAAAAAAACCCCAAAACAAAAGCAACCCCCCCCGCGGGGGGGCCGGGGGGGCCGGGGGAAAAAGGGAGAAGGGAAAAAAGAAAAAAAACCAAAAAAAAAAAAAAAAAAACCCAGCACAGGGGAAAAAAAAAAAAAAGGGCGAAACAGGGGGGAAAAGCGAGGAAGGGGGGGGGGGGGGGGGGGGGGGGGGGGGAGAAACCGGAAAGGAGGCACCCGAAATCCGTTTTTTTTTTTTTTTTTTTTTTTTTTTTTCCCCCTTTTTTTTTTTTTTTTTTTTTTTTGTAAAAAAAGGGAAAAAGGAAAAAGAAGAAAAACCAAAAAAGGAAAAAAAAACAAAGGGGGAATAAAGGGGGGGGGGAAAGGGGGAGAAAAAAAAAAAGGAAAAAAAAAAAAAAAAAAAAAAAAAAAAAAACCCCCCCCCCCTTTTTAATAACCCCCCCCTTATAAAAAAACCCCCTTTTTTTTATTTAAATTTTTTTTTTTTTTTTAAAAATTTTTTTTTTTTTTTTTTTTTTTTTTTTTAAAAAAAAAAATATATTCCCCTGGGTTTTTTTTTTTTTTTTTTTTTGGGCTTTTTTTTTTTTTTTTTTTTTTTTCTTTTTTTTCCCCTTTTTTTTTTTTTAAATTTTTTCCCCCCCCCCCGGGCCCCCCCCCGCCCCCCGGGGCCCCCCCCCCCCCCCCCCCCCCCCGGGGGCGGGCCCCCCCCCCCCGGGGGGGGGGGGGGGGGGGGGGGGGGGGGGGGGCCCCGGGGGGGCGGGGGGGGGGGGGGGGGGGGGGTTTTTGGTTTGGGGGGGGGGGGGGGGTTTTTTTTGGGGGGGGGGGGGGGGGGGGGGGGCCCGTTTTTCCGGGGGGGGCCCCCGGGGGGGGGGGGGGGGGGGGGGGGGGGGGGGGGGGGGGGGGGGGGCCCCCCCTTTTATCCCCCCCCCCCCCCCCCCCCCCCTTTAAAAAACTTTTTTTTTTTTTTTTGGCCGCTTTTTCCCTTCCCCCCCCCCCCCCCCCCCGCCCGGGGGGGCGGGGGGGGCCCCCCCCCCCCGCCCCCCCCCCCCCCCCCCCCCCCCCCCCCCCCCCCCCCCCCCCCCCCCCCCCCCGGGGGCCCGTGTGTTGTCCCCGCCCCGGCTAAATATGACTATTAAATCGGCCCGATCAATAATCTATATTATGGACTTATTACTAATTGAGAATTTGACCGGTCCGATGTGAGGTACACGATCAAAGCTTGTTGGTATCTGTTGTCCGCTTCCTTTTATAATGGTGTTGCGTCAGAGGGGTCTTGGTTATGCGGGGAGGATATGTAACAAGCACTTATAGGCAAACATAACAAAAACGAAGAGATAAATAAATAAATAAACCAAAAAAATAAACTTGAACTAAACAAAGACAAGAACTTAAATTATCTGAATATTATTAGCGATATTAGTAAATTAAGAATTTTAGTTTACTAATTAGTAAACTAAAATTTTCGTAGTAACGTACGAATTCTGGATAAAACTATCAAAAAGATTTGTTTAAATGGGATCACGTCTACCTCTCTAATTTTTGCACTTATGTATTAAAAGGGAAAATAAAAGTCCGATTTGATAAAAAGTTTATTTTTACATCATAACAATATTAAAAGGCGCTATAGATACTGAAATGATACCTAAAAGAAAAACGATATATATCTCTAAACATTCACGTGAAAAATATACTATATACATTAAGTTTACGATGTGTCCTATATGGTGGACGATTCACGCGATTGTGTACCTTGAATGAAAAACTAGAAAAATCTAAATCCATTATTTTACAACCAATTATATGGTACAGTAGTACGATTCCATATCAAATTCCATTGTTGAATTCATAATAACGCCAAAATATGCAAATAATTTAGAGATTTTAATTCTTTGCCACAAGTTTTGACACGAAATAGTAACGCGTATTTTTTTTAAAGAGAAAAGTCTCTATTTCTAAAGAGGTTATTTGTACGCGTTTACAGTACATTTTTGACGTCAACTTCCAAACCATTAGCACCCCCAGTCCCAACTTCTATAAGAAACAATGGGTTGTCATACTATACAACATCTGTACCATACATTTAAAGGATCAGTTTTAACAAATATAAAATATAAAAATAAAATAGAATATCAAGCTTTAATGTAGTCTATCAAGATTATGCTTAAAAAACTAGTTAAAAAAAACTGAATTATTATGGTTTTATAATGAAAACTTTAAATATTAGTTAAATATCCAAAGGTCGCATGATTTATTAAAAAAATCACCGCGCATGTCTAAACACCTATTATGTAAATTTATTTATGCTTTGTATGGCGTTATAAATTGATGTTCCAATGATTTTATATATTGTATAGAGCCGTTGTTTTGTTGATTAATGATCCGGTCAGGCTTCGGAGCCAGAGTCTTCGTTGTCTGCCTCTCGTATACTTGTGAAGAAGGATGTCAACGCTTTAAGCATTACCGCTGAAAAAGGCAAAAACATTAATATTCAACTAATATTGAGGGACATGTCAATGGTATACCTATTAAAAGACTTCAAAGAGGAGGTTATCATTATTTATGTGATATGAATTGGATATTTATTTTGGGCCAAGTAAATTTCCCTACAATTAGACATGATCTTTTCCACACATAAGTGAGGAAGTCCAACATAATATGTAACGGTAAATCATTCTGATAGGTATTGACGGCAGTTTAAAATTAAAAATTACATTTATAAAATAATTTTTGAAGTTATACTTCTTAAGGCGCGTTATGAAAAATTTATGAGAGTGAAATTTTACGATGCGCGCGCACCTGAGACACAAAGTTGTCAGTGTGATTATAGCGTGCGCGAGCGAGATGGGAATAAGACAATCTACAAGTAAAAAGAAATAGAATATGCGTGAAGTTAGCAGCTATGCCAAGAATTTTGAATGAACATAATGACATTTACTTTTTAAACAAATAAAGGAGTTTTGATTATTTTTTCAAAGAAATTTAGCAATGCTTTTTCACAAAGACCTATGGTTACTTAGTTAAAAGGTTATGAAACATACGTAGTTATTAAATTGAATGAATAATATAATAAAATAATAAATAATAAAATTATTTTTATTAATATTAATTTTTTTTTATTATAATTTAATATTTTATTAAATTATTTGGCCCGGATCCCATCATGCTTTGAACAGACTTCAGGAAATTAAATTTCTAAGAAACTATTAAAAATAAACTTACCTTTTCCCTCGGGTACCATTTCTGAAGTCTCCCACGCAATGAATCCATCCACCGATATCACGTAATGCTCATGCAAGTATTGGAATATGTCCAATGTTAAGCCTGGAAAAATTCAAAATATTCAAGAATTACCACTTTCTTTTTTATTATTAATAACCACTTACATATAAATTAAATAACTAAACATATGCTGAACACATAAGGGACCAACAAATATATAAAAGAACCTACATCTTATTAAACTTAAGATGTTACTCTAAACTGGCGAGAGCCGTTAGACAACATTTTTGCGACATATTATAATAAAATAGATGTAGTATATTTGTTACAATTATTTATATCCATACTCTATGATGGATATGTCAGAGATTATGTATAAGAAAACACGATGTCATTTGTTTTTTTAGAATGGCAACACCACGAAATATCAAAGACATCTTTCATGTTGTAAATTGTCAATGGCAACGTACGCACTGACTTATTTTAAAATAAAATACAAATGTCGGATTGTGATAGCTCTGGCTTATATTAATCGCTTCAAATCTACGACATATATGCGAGACTTGTGACTCCCTTATGTCAAATCCAATAAATATGTTCTTGTCATAGCATTGAGTATCTACTGTCTTCCTAAGTCTTGCCTTCAGCTTCCCTTGCAAATATAAATCATTTTGATGATATACATAGTAATTTTAAAACGGAAACTTTGATAAGATTTACTAACTATTACGGCCACGCAGCGCTGCTAAAGTTATATATAGTAGTTATGTATTATATATAGTATACTTAATATGTTGATATAGTCAAACTCACCCTGGGGATGCTCCAGCCGATGTACCAAAAGCTGTATACCGAAGAGACAGTCAGCTTCACGTACTGGCTGAGTATCAGCATACTCGCTGATTAGAGACGAGTATTTGTTCATACGATCAACGTTCAAATGCGTACAACTTTCCGGCGAGTACGCGTACTCGCATATCGCTTGGGTAAGGCAACGGAGGAACCACGATTCCTCGGTTGAGGCGATGTTGTCCTGAATAAAGTTTAAATATTAAATAACTTTAGTGTTAGTGTTTAGATAAAATTAGTAACGGTGATCACCAAGTCGTGTATTTAAATCGGGCAAAGCCGGATTTTTGCTTTGTATCAATAACACTTGTATCGTAAACATTGTGAGAAAACCGTATGGCTTAGACGTAAAATCGAAGAAAAGAAAAATGTAAGACAGACAGACAGAAGGCTGATTATCTAAACATAAATATGATTATTTAGACAGATACAGAAGAGTTACCTTTAAACAAAATCCGTAAAGTTTTTCCATTTAGAACGGTATTTCGATTCGTATCAAGTCACAATTCACAATCTCAACTAAACACGTCAAACTTCATTAAAATTAAACATTTTATTACGATGCGAGCTTAAACTATTCCTAATACTTACTTCAACCAGGATGAATGAAATGCATTGAGATTTAGATTCTGTTTTTTTTCTTTTGTGTATTACAAACTAAAAAATATTTGGCATGTTTACCTTCTTGTTGTAAAAAAAAAAAAAAAAAAAAATTTTAATTGGCCCCATAATGTTATATATAAATACATCTATTTCTGTATTGTGCTGTGAATCTTCTGAATAAATAAATAAAAAAAATAAAAATAAATATTGATTGATATTTGTACGTAATATTTTTACTTGAGTTGGTCCTTCGTAACGGAATAAAAATTCTATGGAAAACAAAAATCTATTAAGCCCTATTATATTTTTTTGACTTTTGGAACCTACCTTGACCCACCCACGGAGACAGTCGCAACTTTCATCGGTATTCATCAATTGAAGCAGTTTTTTTTGCACCTCACTTGGGGGCAATTTCGGCTTCTCTTCAACGCTTGATGAATCTTCGGAGCCTTCAAGAAATTCAAAGTGGTTGTCCGATACCCACTTTGGTACCTGTAAAATATGTTTATTATTAACACAACTTGATTGTATATTTTTGAAATCAACAAACATATATATTTTATTAATTAATATTTTTTACGATTTTTGTTGCTTCTTTTTATCATTATTCTAGTTTTTATATTTGAACCTAACCTAGAGTTGCAAGTAAAAGAACAATACTATAAACAATTTTTAAGTCAGAATGTATTTCTAAACACGGAGACCATACTCATTAAAAAGGAAATTATTTTCACTATAGATAGTAGACTATACCTTATCATCATCCATCCATTGTTTTAACTCTAGACCTGATTCCACCCATTTAGTCCTGGTGAATGTTGGTCCCATACTGTCCTTCAACTCAGTAATAATCGCTTTTAGTAAGAGATGACCATGTCCTGACGATACCAGGGACCCAGCAGCCTTGTGGACTTGTTGGAGAGTCAAGTTCTAAAAAAATTATAAATTTTGTTGTAAAATTATTTTATAACCCATATTTAACTTTGACAAATCTAAATATGGAGTAAGGGTAAAAGTCAGAGAAGATCTCCCGGAGATAAAAAATTTGAATTTTGAGAGTCACAGGTCGATCAAAGTCACCTATTTTATAGATGCAAAAATTCCAATCAATCCTATCATACAAGTACCTTATTTTCAATAAGTGGGGCTATGAATTTTCCAAGATAGGAATACAGCATCGGTATATCGATATATAGATCCGGGCCACACTCAAAGATCTCATCCATTCCTGCCAAGAAGTTCTCGCACGATAAAATTCCCAAACTGACTAGTTTCATCACCGACTTCGACAGAATACTAATTGCTTTTGCATTCCTAAAAAAATATTAAATTAAGTTAAATAACACACGCATTTATTTTCTCTGTTAGGTGTATGCTTTGTTTCCACTGTCTCAAATAAAATAAAAAAAACAAAAGAATTGTAACAATTTAAAATTAACAAATAATTAAAAAGTCAATAAATTTAAATGAGCCAATGAGTTCATATGGAACAGTTTATTAGAAATTTGTCATTTTAAATTATTTATTTTATTAACTAACTGTTGCGGTCTCTGGCAGAATGAACAGCATTGTCGAACTCGTATGCTCCTCAGCATAATGCTAACCCAGGGCCAGTTACAACCACATCACACACACATTAAAATGTACCTTATTCCTTACAAAAAAGTGCGTGCGTAAAATGTATACATGTCAGAAGTGAAACTTCTTTGGCAAACTAATTTTTAACTCTTGTTCATATTTATACAAATCTAAAACTTTAGATTTCCGAGACTTAGAGGGAGGGAAAAAGGATGATAAGTTAGGAATTTATTTTCATTAAAATTTTAAAAGTATCGAAAATTAATATAAATTATTATTATTTTTTAAATTTATTATTCTTCGATAATAAAACACGTGGCATTTTAATTTACATTTCGTCTTTTGAGATTTCAATAAATTATTTTGCATAAAATATAAAATACTAATATTTCATAAATTCTCTTTACGAAATATTAATTTTAAATATATAATTTCTACTGCCTACTGACCACAGAGCTCGTCTAGCGACCAATCGGTGCCGGACTGTGGGGAAATCGTCGACGAAATTCACGTTGTGTTTTTATCACTGATGAATTATTCCGTAAGAACATTGACACGATTATTCCACGATCTTGCGGAGTAAAACGGTCCATGTTTATTTTCAGTGTATTTTACATTTGTTCACTACACAATTTTCAACAACAGAATGACAGGAAATGTCATATAAAAAAAATAAACAAATTTTCTTTAGTGCCAGTACTTTTGCGCCACCCAGTATAAGGTAATTCGCTGCACATCTTCGTGACGTATCCGTAAAAATTTTACCCTCATGCGCCTACAAAAGTTTCACTTCAAAAAATATATATATTCTTTTTTTATTATTTTGTGTGTTTCGTTAGTAATAAATGTTATGTCTATTGAGTATAATTAAATAATGTCTACGCTGTTATATATTTCTACTTACTTCTCAAGCGCAACATTGAGTATCTCCGTAACCATAGCAGCATGATATTGCGATCCAATAAGTTTAATCTCTTCAACCAGCTCTTCATCGTTGAGATTCAAGATGGAGAGATCGATAAATTGTTTGACGGATTTCCTAAGGTACTCTGGCAGCGGTTCTTGGGCGGCCGGTGCTTCCGTTTGGGCGGGTGGGGCCGCGGGTGGTGTGGGCGAAGGCTTAGTTCTTTCAATTGAATCGGAGCGCGAAGAGGCTAAAGACAATTAATACCAATAATAGTAAACGCAATGTAAAATTTATAATAAATCGGTAATGTCTTTTATATGCGGAGCGGTTCATTTTTGTACTTTCAACCCCTTATTCATAAAAACTAAAATACTTCTGTCTTTTTTCTTCACAGCGTAAATATAATTTGACAGAATGAGTGGAATGAGACTGATGTAGTTGATGAGTATGTGGATTTAATGTAATTTGTTTACTACGATGACAATTGTTAAAAAAATCAATGAGTCAAAATGCTACAACTGTGTCTCAGATTTCTATATACAGATAGATTCATGATAATTTGTTAATCTAATAGCCAAGTAGGTGATCAGCCTTCTGTGTCTGACAGACGCCGTCGACTTTTTGGGTCTAAGGCAAGCCGGTTTCCTCACGACGTTTTCCTTCACGGTTCGAGCGAATGTTAAATGCGCACATAGAAAGAAAATCCATTGGTGCACAGCCGGGGATCGACCTACGACCTCAGGGATGAGGGTCGCACGCTGAAGCCACACAACACTGCTCTATGAAAATTATAAGTGTATAATTTTAAGGCTATACTTGGCGCTTAGTATGACTTCTGTATGTCAAAACCGAGTACCTATAAATCTTAAAGAATATATTACAGTAGTTAAAGCATATTTTTATGCGTTTAAAGTTCTAATTTGTATTTTATAAAAGATATTTTCAAAAAATTGGATATAACTTTGCCGCCCGTTGCCTTATAACTTTTGTAACATGTTTTTTTGTATTTTTGTTATGTGTATGTTTGTGAATAAGGTAATAAAGCATAAATAAATATGACTTACCGAAGTCATTGCGTGTAAATGTCGACCTCTCTATCGACTTAGACTGCTGGTAGGCAGCGGGAGGTGCGTGCTTGGCGGCTATAAATAAAGGTAAAAAATATAGTTTCACCCTCATAGTTAGTAACAGATAACACAGGAATATATATCTATTCATCTAACTTCCAAAACTAATATCTAACATTACAAAATAATGTCTTCAGAAAGACAGTTTTATTTAAATATGCCGAACTGAATCAATAACAATATTAAAATAGTTCAAAACCAAAGACAACAATAAGGTTTAGTAAACCTTTCGTCTTACATATGTTTTGAATTTTTTTTGAAAGATAAAATTATCGGAATTTTAGGAATTTAGTTATACTGTATGGACACAAAAGACATTTTTTTAAGACATGATATATGAGATATACTATTAATATTCAAGGCAAAAGGTATAGTGATTAATTAACTTAATTAAATTTTATTATTCAACTAAACACAAACACCTAGCGTAAACTGGCGTAGCGGTTATGCCAACTAATAATTCATATTTGCTACGCGTCATTTCGTTTATTCTTAAAAATTATATACTTTATATTTTGCCATATTCATTATCAAGACTACTGTCAAACTATAATGACGTAAACGAGTTGTCAATTTAGCACTGCAGGGACGTGAAATCCCACGAGTCTATTTCCACTCGGGCTACAATAGTAACTAATGATTTTGACTAAACAAATGATCTATATCAAGAAACCTACCTGTAAGTGTCGTCGGGTCGATCTGAACGTTGTCCAGAATGCTGAACTTATTCGTGGCTGAAGCGGCTATTTGAGATTTAGTTCCAGATCCCTGGTTCCATATGCTGTGAGCTGGAGCCAGCTTTATGCTGCCCAAGTTCGGGTTCTGTTAAACATTGAAACGTGATTGGTGATTAAAAAGACTCGTACATTAGACGCCCTTTGAGAACCGGTAGTAAATGTATATTTATGAAGACTTTCATTTTTATTAACAAAATTGTCTTTGTTTTATAAAAATATATTTTTTTTGTAGTAAATTGTTTTTTTAAATTATAATTTCACGATAATTGAAAAAAACTATAAAAAAAAACAATCCTGTCTTCAAAAAAAAAAAAACAGTTAATTTATCTACAACTAGCAGACCCGGCGAACTTCGTTTCGCCTAACCTAATTTACGATTTCATTAAGGACATTAATACAACTTTTTTTGCAAATACAGAAATGTTTTATTGCTTGCCATTGCGAAAGAAGAATGGCAGTTTTACACATTAGGCCTCTCTCTAGCGCCAATTTTGCGATACTGCATGTTAAAGTACTTTCTGATATACAACATTTTTTGTATTGTTATCCGGCGCACGACCAAAGTGGTAGGTTTATTTTATATGCGTAATTTTGTCAACAGTAGGCACCACATGCTGTTTGCATTCGTAAAATTAATTATTTAATTTATTTTTATTCGATAACTTATTTTTTTACTTATTCTGCTGTTCGGAGCGGAGAAGAATCCACCAAAAAGAGATAACTAACATCTGTCCAGCCGATCTTGAGTTATAAGTGGTGTAACTAACACGACTTTGTTTTATATATTTAGGTACCAAAACCACAAAAATTTTAAATCTTCCCATTTATGTTCTATAAATTGTTTACCTTTTGCGGCATGGCCTTGAGTTTGCTGGTATCCACGACGTAGTTACTTCGCGTTGTTGTTGTCTTCCAAGTGTTATCCATGAAGTTATTATTTCCTTGTCTCCGCCCTTCGACGCCACGTTTCTTACGATTGCCATCGTCACGTCGGAAACCACCCCCGACCGGCGAATTCATCAACTGTAAACCGTTTATATAATAAAACATGAGAGAACTTAAATAGTTAGGAGGGCAACGGACGGATTTATCGACTTTTGTAAGAAAGGGAGCGTTCAAGTATTACGTAACGAATTTTTTATCCTTTTGCAAAACGTTACGACGCGGGGCGGGGATTGAATTACGCGTTATTGTTAATATTATTTTCTACTTACACCACATAATAGTAACTAAAGAGTCACTAGGTGGTCACGAATAGTTTTACTAGATTTGGGTACTGAAAAACGTTACGGCGAGTTCATGGGTGGGGGGGGTCAATAATCTCCAAAAATTGCGTTACGTAATACTTGAACGCTCCCAAAGGAACAATATGAAATAAGTATACCACAATTTATCCCAACCCGTTATATTAGTTTTCTAGCATACACAATGTGTGGGTAATATGTGTAAAAAAGCTAATAATTACTGATAACGTAATCACCAAATAAGAAAATCAAATACCCCCCGCCCCCCCCATAGTGCTTGCGTAATACCTAACAACATGTGTAGTTCGTCTGTTACGAATACGTCTCAACCAGGTTTTCGATAAAAAAAATATTTTCTTAAAACTTCGGTACTTAAAAGTACCGATAAAAATCGCTAGATGCAACGCCCGTTATCGCTAACAAGCGATTTCAGCTAGGCAACACTAGTAAAGAAAAATAAATACTAAGGCTAAACTAAATTAACAAAAACAAAATTATAAGTAACAATGAAAAAAATATATAATAACTAAACATTTTAAGCATTTTTAAGGTAACGTTAAAGAAAGGAGGTTTGGGGCACTAGTATATTTTTTTTATTCGTCAGGGAAGTTAAACAGACACAAAAATGTGCCTGATATATAAACATAGTTAAAATATACCTCAATATGCCGTTGTTTCTGTTCAGCTTCCTTTTGGATCTGGTCCATCATCTTCGGTTGCATGTCTAAGACACTCTTGGCTACCCACCTGCGTCTTCTCAATTCAATTACATCCTGTAAAAATGTTTTTAATTTTTATTATTTTATTGAATACATGGTATGGCATCTATTATACATTTCCCAGCGAAATAATTGCGTTAAAATCAACATTTAAAAATTCCTGGTGTAATTTATTTGTATAATGAATAATTTTACTTCAGATACATTAACAAAATTTATTTAGAAATGTGGGTACGAACAAAAAACTATGATTTCAAAATGGAGGGTACGATTCGATTTGAAAATATGGCTTACTTGTATAGTAAGTAGAATATAATATAAAATGTACTATAAATAAAAAAATAGGTACTGTCTAATAATCTCCATATTATGTTATTGTGTTTTTCTTTCAATGGAACTTGTATGTATGGTCACGTGACCATTTGACTATTCTAATATATAAAATTATCATGTCACAATGTTCGTTCAGATACTCCTCCGAAACGGATCGACCGATTCTTATGAATTTTTTACGCATATTCATTAAGTCTGAGAATCGGCTACTATCTATCTTTCAAACCCCTAAATGTAAAGGGTGGTCCACCCCAAAATTTTTGATCCTTGGTATGTATCAATTTTTCATTTTTTATTTGTTCATTAAAATCATATCTCAATCAAAATCAAATCAAATCTCAATTTTTTATTTGTTAATTAAAATCTTATGACCTAAACTCTGAGGTTTATATAAAAAAAAACAAAGAAAAACCTAAAAAGTTTTCATTCCAGAAAACCGAACAGTCTCCGGGGTAGCATAGCAAAATGTTCCTTTTGATCCTTGGTATGTACTAAAAAGGTAGGCTAAGGAAAATCACATTAAGGAGAACCGAAATTCGCAGGGGCAGCTATTGTTTCTATATAATTACGATAACAATAATTACAATTTATTTAAACTAATGAATATTACTTTATACCTGTAGCATAAACCGCACACGGCTGCTAATCTTCTTACTCTTACGATCATTGACAATATCTTGGATTTTATTAATGATCACATCCAGCTGTTCCTTGGCCTCATTCTCCACCTGTTCCCCAATCGTGGTCAGCAGCTTGCAAAGGCATTCCAGCTTCTCTTCTTCTGGCTTATCGATGAGGTAATTCATACAATATACCATGATTTTGGCTATCAAGATGTTTAACTTGTATAGCTCGCCTGAAAATTATAATTTGTGTTTAGGAATACGCCCTTATTGGTTGGAGCTGAAAGGATTTGCAAGCGCATAGGTTCAAAAAATATCAGACACCGAAATATGTGTGTATACAATTTTATGATTTCAATTATTTCCTGGAATGTTCCTGATATGAGAAATATGTGTTCAATAAAAATAACAGTAGAGGAAGGTGGTAACGTACCGATAAATCGAACGTTTCCAACTGAACGCATGCGCACGCGACGTTGAGCTTCTCCCAGTTGTGCATGCAATTCCTTTTTCTTGGCCTGTATATAAAAAATACGTAGATTTAGACACATTATTTACTTCGCAACAGTCCGAAGATAGTTGACTTTTTATTATGTACGCTTGTAAAATTTACCTAGTCTCTACCTAAGAAATCTATGTTTGTGAATAGTGTTACTAATCTTAATTACTTATATTTTTCTATAGAAAGTACATTTGTCCCCTTGTAATATCTTTATATATATAATTCTTCTGTGAGTGTGTATGTCACTGAACTTCTCTCAAACGACTGGACCGATTTTGATGAAATTTTTTGTGTGTGTTCAAGGGGATCTGGGAATGGTTTAGATTCACAAATCAGCCCGGCAGATGGCACTGCTGTCGGTACTTCCATACTTTGCTTAATATCCTAATCGCTTTAAATATCATGCAGGACAACGTCTGTGGGGTCCACTAGTAATATATAAAATGAGTTAATCACAATATTAACTTAACTCATTTAATAATTTTTACGTTTAGAATACGTACTTACGTACATACTTTACGTGTGCTCGCGTAAACCAAGTATTTCATAACGAAAGATTGTTGACTGAAAAATACGAGTTTTAGGCACCCCTTAGTAAAATAAAGCTATACTTACAGCATCGTTGCACTCAGCGAGCTCTTTCTCTAACTTTACCACAATCTCATCTGTTTTCTCTTTGATGAACTGGTTTTGACATTTTGTGATGATCATCGCACGGAAATTAACGCATTGGCTAGGGTTATTTGTTGATGGAACCTGGAGAACAAATGTGTTAACATGTTATTTAATGATTAATAATTCGGTTTTAGTGCCATCTTCAAATACATTAAGTTCTTTCATATATTTATAGTTAGTATTCAGTGCTAAACAGTGAGTGAAAAGAAATAGAACACAAGAACAGAATGTCTTAATAGAGACTGTAAGTAGTGTGTAGTGTTATTGGACACTTTCTTATGTAAAAATCCTTATTAGTAAATTAGGTTAGACTTAAATTACTTATTAGTCTTATGTTAGGCTAGATTGTAATGCTCCATGATGTCTTAATGGAGACACATGTATAAAAAAAAATATTATTTGGTCCGTGACACTTTAAGCATATAAAATTTAACATCACACACTTTGCTAAATAAATGGTATTTAAATTTTATTTATTTACTTTTATACATATATATATGAAACACCCATTTATGAAATTAATAGTTCAGGAATACTGACTGTATGCGTAAAGCTAAAGCACTGACAAAATAGACAATTTTTTTAGTACAAAATATTATTAGTAAAATAAACGCATTACTTGAAACCTTTTGTTCCTCAACACTAATATAAATAAATTAAAGTACAATTTCAAAATTAAAATAAATGTTATTAATTAAAATTTTCACCGTTATACACTTACCCTTAGAGTAGAAAGTTTGTTACACATAGCAGCATATGCTTCGGAGAAGTTCGGCTCTTCAATAGCTTTCTCGAAAACAAGATCAATAACGCCCTCGAGACGTTCCTGAGTGTCAATTTCAAGAGATTTCACCTTATCAACGAGCGTATCGAACTTCTGAGGCGTCAATTTGTTCAGAATACCGCGGAACTTCTTATATAACTCCTGTAATTAATATTAAGGGTTTAAATTTATGTCAAAATATGTAAGTTTATGTAGATTCCTCTGCTTCTGAATTCTTTAATCAATGTATGTTAAAAAATCGAGCTCTTATGAAAAACATTGTATACATATATCAGCGCGTAAAGGCGTAAATAATACAAAAAATAATTAAAAGATCTTCCGTTAATTTACAATTAAGATACCTGTGTCTTCAACTCTGCTTCGTCCAAGTTTTCCTTCTTGAGCCTGGCTGGTCTCCAAGCATCTTTCGTTTCGTTTAGTTTCACTTCTTCGCGGAGTGAAATGCAAATATTCCTTCCACCACTGTTTCTCGATGGCGAGTTCAATTTCATACTGCCTCTATCTACAACAATTGCATTGCAACTATTAAACTGACACAAAAATGCTTACCGCATTGGTTACACCACATGTACAGGCAAACATTTAAAATATTAGTGATTCATTCATATTTTTGGATGTGCATAACAATAACAAAAATAATTTGAAACAGAAATAAATTTGTGATATTTTTTTGTTTCAAATTATTATAAAAGGGGTTTTATTTTTCATTATAATATTTGCATTAAGATATGATGAACAGCATGATGTCATGGTTGCAGGTTCATACATTTTGTAAAAAAAAACTTAATGAATTAAAAGAGTGACTGAGAGTTCTTGTCCATTCTACTTGATTTGAGAACTAGCAGAAATTTTTTATATAGAAGTTTTTAACTTCATTACTGAATTTTAAAAATGTACATAATATGCTCATATAAATAAATGATATCTTGATTTAGATAATAATTTAGGTATAATACTGTAAAACATTGCTTGCAATATTGTACTTGGAGTGTTTCTTCATTCCATACATTTATACTATTCTATAGTGGTGTACTTACTTAGAGATTGACCTGAACTCCTATTGTCCTTTCTGCCATCACGTAGAATAGGGTTTCTCATGCTACCAGAGTTTGTCTTAAGGAAAGTTGGAAACAATGAGTCATTCATTGAGCGATTAATATGATTGAATGCTATCAATGAATCTTGTGACTGGGCTGTCTGTAACATTAAAATTAAAATCATTACTTATATATATGTTATACTGATGCAATCTATAAATTATTCCTTTAGAATTATCACTCAGGATATCTTGTACATCTGGTATTGTATAAGCAAAGTAGTTAATATCTTTGCTTTTATTGATTTGGTTATGTAATAGTTTAATCAAGTGAGATGTGAGTCAAGCATTAAAGGCTCTTAATGTCTAATATGAGTAAGAATCGCTTTTGCTATTATGCTGTCTAAATCTTTTAAATAAATCTCTAAATAATATACTAAAGGTATAGAGTTACCTAATACGGCAATCTATACCTAACTTTAAAAAAAAATTAAATTGTTAATTGAATTATGTTGGCTTCTGTTATCTTGAGTTTATGTTATTATTAAAGTTGTGGATTTTTTTAATTCTTAACTAGACAACACTCTTATTTCTTCAAGTATCAATTAGATTATATAAAAATGGAAGTTAAAATTTGAGAAGTGGTAGTAATCATTAAAAAAAAAATTAATAAATCTCTAAATAATATACTAAAGGTATAGAGTTACCTAATACGGCAATCTATACCTAACTTTAAAAAAAAAAAATTGTTAATTGAATTATGTCGGCTTCTGTTATCTTGAGTTTATGTTATTATTAAAGTTGTGGATTTTTTTTTATTCTTAACTAGACAACACTCTTATTCCTTCAAGTATCAATTAGATTATATAAAAATGGAAGTTAAAATTTGAGAAGTGGTAGTAATCATTAAAAAAAAAATTATAGGTGTAGAAAAAAATACCAGCATGAATAAATATATTTTACATTAAAACTATTTAATAATAACTAGTTAAACTTACCCGCAGGATATTACATGTTTCAAGAAGCGGCGATTTCGGCATAGTCTTGCACAACGGATCATCTTGTATTTCCTTGAGCAGGTTAACATCATAGACTTTCTTGCCAGATGGGTTTAAAGGGGACCATTGTTCTGTAAGAAGTTAGATGTTATCTCAGCAAAAATGTTCTATTACCTATTGAAAATATTTATAGATAGCATAAATAAAATGTTTAAACATTTACTAATTTCTGATTACCAGGTAGAATCAAGAACCTTAATAAATTAAGATCAGCAGCTTAATACTTTTAAAATAAAATATTATTTAATATTAAAGATTATTATTTTCTTTTAAAAAATTGTACTACAGATATGACATCAGATAGTTTGAGTAAACTTACTTTAGAATTATTCTTATGCAGTAGTCATATAAAGGACAAGGTTAATATATAAGTTGACCCTGACTTTCATTCTGACTATACGTATTTTGATAACTTTTATATCACTTTCAAACCAAATATAGTTACTATCAAAGCCTACCTAGTATGGACCTAATTTTACACACAAATATTGCAAAGCTAACCTAAGACCATTAATGACACTATCTTGAGACTTGGTATGCCGGTGAGCCTCAATAAATGGTTGTTATATATAAGGTAGAAACAATTTTTAATGCTAATATGTGCATACCATCACATCTATCTAATACTATAAATCATTTTAGTGCTTATTTTGAATTATAACATACCTGCATTGTAACTATGCTTTAGAGTGATGGCCGGTGCATCAGGCTCCAGCTCTGATACCTCTGATTTAAGTTCATCTGGTTCACCTACATAATTATCAGTCTCATCGTTACCATTTAGTGTTTCTTTGACACTAACATCAGGGCTTGTGTTATTCTGCTCCATACTTTCGTTTTCATTATTAGTTTCTAAGATTATTTTTTCATTTTGGTTCACATCTTCCTTAACAGTCTCAGTTTCATTAGCAGAATCAGGATCTATAGCAGAATAGAAAGTTAGATAATATGTAGTACTGAATTTTTTTTGACATTCCCGCCCTGTTCACCTTCCTTGAATAGTTATAGAATAAAAATTGATTGAAATTATTGAATATCAAAGGTGAAAGTGAACTGAGCTCTAGAATGGAAGCATAAGTTAGACAAAAGTAAAAATATGAAGCTGTACCTGAAGTATTATTAAGATTAATATCCTTCATTATGCCCTCAGGATTGATGCTTCACTGGTTATGTGGTATAGGAGCTGAGATAGCACTGCACTTATAATATTCTTTTCTTCAGTGGTATAATTATTTGTGACCTTGTGGTACTTTTTCTAACTTTACAATAATAGATCACAACTAAATGGCGGTAAATACTTGCAGGGGAAGTATCTAAATGCTAATAACTAAGAGTATAAATTTACATCAGCTTCAGTCTTGTTTCTAGTTCCAGTTAGGTACTTTTGTTTAGTTTCTATGTTCTGACTAGTTGTGATTGGGTTTGATAACACCTGAGAAATAATTTGATGTTGTTTAATTTCCTAAGGAGATGTGGTATTTTAACAAAAATTAACACATGTCAAAATATCCCAGTCAGGAATGTTAAGTACATAAAACTTATTATTTTTTAATATCGAATGAAATTTAAAAACCAGATTATTAGTATAAAAAGCACAAAAATATGTTAGTTTATAGCACAAAAAACAATGAAAGTTACTTAATAAATCCGTTATGTTAAAGGTTGTTGCGAACGTTGGCAATCAATTTTGCTAAATGACTTTCGTAAAAAATACATAATGCAGTTGTCTGTTCTAAAATTAATACAAAATATTACCTATACGTTATACAACGTGTCGAAAATACAACGTAAGATAGGCTTTAGGTGGTGGACAAGTTAGGGACCAGTCACTACCGAAGGGTACTCTTACTTTGACATTAAGATACCTTTTTAATACCTCCTAGTTTGATACTATGCAACCGTTTTAGGATATTAATAAGTACTAATGGTTACAGAATAATTTAACACTGTTATTTTTTTTTAATTAGCAACCTAAACTGAAATTAGCACAGCTGTTAATTACATATTAAAATAAGCATACCTGTAGTGTTAGTACAAAATGTTCCCTGTTGTTTCTTCCGATTTTTTAAATTGTTAACTTTTATTCAACTTTAAAAAATATATTGCTGTGAGAGATCAACTTTGACCAGTCCGCAAGACTTGTCAAGGTATAACCTAAAAATGTTCAAGTCTGAAGTCTCGACAAAAAATTAATAACCCATAGACTATAGACTAGGTATAGGTTAAAATTTTATTATATAGTCTGTGGATAGAAAAACAAAAAGTAGACTTTATACAAAAGATACAATAGATTTATTTGAGGTAAAATATAAATTGGTTCAGATTTTTAAGTTGAGATATAGGGTAAGATTAGAGTCGAGACTTTAAGGGCAAGATCTATAGAGCGCACTTAGACTTTGCTCAGACTTAACTTTTGAGTTAAGTCACACGGTATTTATAGCGACTACGAACTGCGAATCTCTCTGAGTACTAGCTTAGCTTCAAGTCCACGAAATCGAAGACTTACCAAAAACTTTGACTATAAGCCTAACAAAAATAATGGCCTAAAATTTACTTTACCATCATATCTTTTATTTTTTCATCATATTTTTGTCGGTTTTTAATTAACGGTGATGCCATCTTACACTGGAGTTCCATAGACTTTGTAAAAAATAGGATTTGAATTCAAAGAAATGATAAATGATCTTGATACATAATACCTATGAAATACATGAAATAAAATAATTACACATTATTATGGTATTTATTATTTATATAAGTGTTTAAACCCCATTTTTGAGAGATCTTAAAAATAACTGATGTGATATCGTATCTGTCACCTGGCAGCACTGGCATATGTTGACATTGATAAGCAACAACAAAATTCAAAATATAACCAAACCAATAAATAGAAGATACCTGTGTACCGTTTTAGACGTTTAAATATTTATTAATGTTATACTTTTTTAAAGGATAATAAAGAAGGTATTCAATGAAATGAAACGTAAATTTGTTTTTTGTCATTTTCTGTCTTAGCTTGTGTTTAGCTTAATCTCATCGTTAAAATGTCTATGTATACTGAATCATAGTTTATGCTTAGTGTACACTAAGCAAAGTTTTTCGTAATTTAAGTTTGAGCTAAGTCTAAGTGCGCTCTATCTATAGATCTTGCCCTAAGTGCTAACTATGAGTCTCATATGTCAAAAATGTATTGGATTTGATAAACGGGAGTCATACCGAATAATTTACTAAAGTAATACCTAAGATGACATGAAATAAATATGTGCTTTGTCATTATATTGTTAAAAACTTTTCGTTTCTTTTTAAAAATATATTATATTCGCCTATTCGCTTAGCTCCTTCTCTTTCTTCCTTTAAATTTATTCTGTACAAACATTACCTGTCCACATCGTATCCTTAACCTTCTTACTAACTACTAACTGACATGGGACTGATCTTAAATTAAAATATTATGATTCATGTGCACTTTTACTTTTTATTTTTCATGTATCCTTTATTAGTTTAGTTTGTTTTTTGTTTCTTAATAACTATATGTAATATGTATTTTTGCACTTCTTTCCTACCTTATCTAATTTAATACATTTTTTCTTTTCTCACAGTGATTGCCTGGAAGAGATCGCTCCAAAGCGATAAGGCCGCCAGTTGCCCTCCTTTACATATTTAATTAGGTTAAATTTTTATATTGTAATGCAACGAAGTCTTAATAAATAAATAAAATATAATGTAGACTACCTTATATTTTTAAACCTTAATAAACGTGTTATATTGGTAGCAGAGTGCTAAATAAAAACTACTTCTGCAATCCGACGTACACGTACCTTCGACGTAGACGTAAACGGTAAACGTGATCAAGTGAATGATTGAAAATGAAGATATTCCCTGAACAATTTCATGGCTATTGTGAACAGCAGACGTGGATAAAGTTATCCCAGCTGAGTTATTAACCATCATGCTGTTATACAATTTGCCTACAAGCTTTAATAACTTCAGAATCGCAATAGAGTCCAGGGATTGAATTAGAAATTTTCTGGTGTATAAAGAAAAAAGATCAATAAAGGTAAATGCGATTCTTACAAATTTGCAAGTCTTACCAACGCTCAATCATGCACTAGTAAGAAGCTAATGTAGTTCTTAGACCGTGGATGTTCATCACACGTCATGTGTTCTGACGATGTTCTCCTCAATTACGCCTGAAAATGATATACAGAGTTTATATAACAGAATATACACAACACACACAACAATAAAGTTGTGATAAGCAGAGATGTTACATGACACTGACACTGACATAATGAATTGAAAATCAAAATGAAACTTATGAGACCCTTGTAAATGAAAGTGCGGAAGAGTCGATCTCGGATGTACGATCCTGAAAAAAAAAGATTTGTTAAAAAGAAAACTCATAGACTACAGATAGAAATCGAAATTTAAGACTTACCAATAAATTAATCAAGTCTAAACCAGGTCATCATCATTTGCACACATTCGAATCGGAATATGAGTCAGGCCATGTATCAAATGAAGAATTTCCTGATGTCATAGAGACACTTGTTAATTATTGTATTATAATTATTAAGGCTGAAATAAAAGCACATGGTAAAAATATTACATGTAAAGTAGAAAAGAAAACCAACAATATAAAAGAAATAGACTACTTATACAATTATTTTAAAGAACAACTTTGACTTTGAAGTAATTGAGTGATCACGCTTAATAAATACTTAAAATAACAGAACAATTAATATCATTTAGGTAAAATGAAATTACATATTATTATATTGTGTGTGTGTTTACATGTTACCGTATTTGTTGAAATGTTTGTTCACTTGACATGTGAAATTAATACTAGCAGTATTTCGTAATATACTGTATATTTCCCTCAAAGCAAACATTACAGCTTTCGATTGCTTAATAATGCCTGGTTTAGAAACACGTATCTTGATACTAGTTTTAATTAGATAACTAGGGTCTATACTGATCTTAGCGTAGGGTTGTTACGTAACAAAGTATTATAATATTAATTTGAATATTGGGGTGAACACGACAGAGTTTGTCGTCTCTGATGCTTACTTTTATAAGGTTAATGCTAAAATCAGGGTAGAGAACACTGGACTGGAGGAGCCTTTGCTGGAAGGCGAACCGCTGCACATTATTTAGAAATATTTAATTAATTAATTTATTTATTCACACTTCGTTAAATTTATACAAAAATAAATAACATAATACTTAAAAATTATAAGGGATGCAACGGGCGGCCTTATCGCTAACAAGCGATCTCTTCCAGGCAACCCTAGTAAGGGAAAAAAAACAATATGATGGATAAAGTGCAAGAAATTCCTAACCAAAGCTTATAAAAAAAATTAGCGAGGTTAATTAAATTATGTATAGTGTAATTTAGAGCCTTACATCAATAAAATAAATATTGAAATGTAGCTGATAAATAACACTATTTTACTATACCACTCGAGACTTTCGGCTTTGGGCTTTAATAGGGCATCGAATGTTCATTGAAAACCGGTTTCGGGTTAAATATCCTCGGTTTTCGACTTTTTCTTGTTTTGATTTTTTTAAATCACTAATCTCTTTTATCGATTTCCTACAATGAATCAAATATAAAGGTGAGGAAAATTTAATTAAATAAAACAGTACTTTACAAATTACAAAAAAGTTTTAATGTTTAAAAAAGTGATAAAGATTTTTTTTCTTCAGCATATTAAGTAAAAAGTAGTTATCTTGACACATTATTTAAACAACATTGTTAAGACATAACCTTTGACCATCTGACCACTTTAGGAAAAAAGAGAGGAACGCTCTCGCTGTCGCGTACCGCCATTCTCGAAGAGTGCTATTTCTACCCTCACAGTAGTATTCTACCTACTACCTCACAAATCGTCTGATGTACAAGCTGATCCAGTTTCAGGAGCATTATTGTCAGAAGCAACAGCTTGACTTAACTGTCTGTTCAGTTCCTTTCATTTGTCAAAGTAGACAACTGAATGTCAAATTCTCGCAGGTCTTGGTCTGGCGCTGGCAAATTTTTAAGAGGTATATTTTGTTTTTTGGTTGTGCGTTTAATCAGATTAACAATTTCGTTTAGCATTTCATCACCTTAGCCAATAAAACAGTTTATCTTCATTTT